AAAAATTCAAAACATAGCCAACTGATTGTTGGAAAAGAGTAATGAACGCAAGGAAACTGAAAAAGTAACTGATTTGTTTTTTTTTTTTTCAAAAAACCTTCAACTTTTGAACTTCGAAGAAAATAGATCGCCTTAAAATTCTTTGAATTTAAAGAACAATTTATGATAGACATTTTTTTGTTCAATTAACCCCATTTGAGAAAACTGGATCAATAGGCAAAACTTTTATTTTGCTGGGAAATCTGATAATTAATTTCCATTTCCGAAACTAGAAATCGATCACGTTTTTCGTGATCTTTACACTTTTACTGTTCGATAGTGGAGTTTGCCTCCTTTTAAATATAGAAATGCACTTAACTTGAAAAGGAATCATAAGTTAAAACGCGAAAAATCAAAATTGAGTGAATAAATTTTAAGACTTGTTCCTGAAAAAGAGATCAGCAAGACCTATCTAAGAGTACTCACTACGCTCTAAAAACCTTTTTTTGTTCTATAAAAATTGCAACAAAGCCCAAAATATCCGGAACAAAATTGCCTGCAACCCTAGAAATTCTACAAAGAGCTTTGGGAATGCTATAAAGAAGGCCAGTTATCAAGAAAAAAAGTATTTTCTACGAAACAAAGCAGACATAAAAAAAAGCAGACAGATAATAATCTACATAAGCCAAAATTTTCTAGGAGCAAAAAAAATAGGTCTCAACTGGAATCGAACTCCCGGGCTTTGTAGTCTCAAGCATGAGGATCAGGTTACAGCAGCTTGGAAAAAAGCTTAACCATCGAACTACGGGAACCAAACCGACAAAAACCAACAGACGGACGATAGTCCGAAAAAGCACAAAAACTGTAGTTTGCAAAAAAGGGCCCGACCGGATTCGACCCGCATTCCTTTGTTTCGACCCGCCGTCTCAAGCCTTTGTTTTGCCTCTACACAAGATGTGCCGGATGGTTGATTTGATTTGAACTTATAATTACCAAGCGGTAACAAAGTCACAAATACCTGAGCAGAAACCTTTCAAGCCCGAAAAAATTCAAAATACTCCAAACTTATAAAAATGTTAAGTCCCGTTTCCCCTCAGAGCACACACGTGCACAAAAACAACTTCGGTCGTAACGACGCAATAAGACGCTATTATTTCGATATTAATTAAGCAGAAAATTATTAAGCCGATAAAAAAATATTAAAAAAGTGCAATTTTAAATCGAGCTGGTAAACTTATAACCAATGTGAAAATCATATTTTGATTCGTCCTGATGCTTAAAATGCTAAAAGCAACTGCAGTGAAAATTGTTTACGGCTAAAATAAACGAGTCTTAGATGTGTCAACAAAGCCGACAAAACAAGCAGCTAAATAATAGGCGAGAATTTTTTTGATCTGGAGTATTAAACGTTAAAAAAAGAGGTCCAGGTCAGATTTGAACCCAGAAACTTTGCCATCCCAAGTGTATTCGTTAGCGCCAGGCTAAATGTGCAAGAGGCACTACAAAATTTGAATTCATTATAAACCAAGGTACATCAGGAGTCCAATGAGTCCTTTGGACAGAGTTGTTAACGGGCAAAAAAGCCTTGTACTCGATTGTAATACCCTTGTTTATCGCAAGGGGGGAATTTATAACTTAGTGAGAAAACTGCCACAACTGTTTGTTTTTTATTCTGCTGGTAAAACTTATTTGGTGGGAAAAAAAGAATAGCACATTGAGAAGTCATACCATACTACCCTTTTCGAGCTCTTTCAATTCTTGTTATTGGAGTCCTGAAATGTCTATAAAATTCTGCTACTCTAATGTTCAAAAAAGCATCATCAAGCTGGCTAGTTGCACCGCAAAAAAAGGACTTCTTTTTCAAATATCAACTTTCGAATTTAAAAAAATGTGTGCCCTTAAAGCTCTTTGAATTTCAAGAACAATTTACGATTGGTGCTTTTTTGATAAAATTAACCCAATTTGAGACAACTGGACAAGTTATGTAAGCTTTAAATTCTTCCGGGAGATCGTAACATTAATATCATTTTTCGAAACTAGAAGTCGATTAGATTTTTCGTGACCTTGACACTTTTGCAGTTCGATAGTGAAGTTTGCCTTCCTTTAAACAATAGAAAAGAACTGAACTTCTAAAAAAAATCAAAAACCAAAGAGCAAAAACAAATCAAAATTGAGCGTGACCAAATTTTAAGTTCAGCGTGACCAAATTTTACTTCAGAGGGAACAATTCGATTAAATCTTTTGGATAAAATTAACCCAATTTGAGAAAACTGGACGAATAGGTAATTTAAATTCGCTACATATGCTATTAAATTGCCAATTCGATGCAGCAAAAGTAGCACCAAATACAAAAAGACACAATTTTGAATGTAATAAATTGGAAGGCATAAAGTCAAACTATGTATAAATTATGCATTTCAAAAAACGTTGAAATAATTTGAGTTGGAAAAATTCAGAAATCGAGCTTTTAATCATTGTACTGTTGTTTGAAACAAACATTTTTTTTCGGTCCCTTTCATTTAATGAATTAAAAATGCATCAGCTGTGTTAAATTTTTACTAATCAAACGTCAAAGCACATGCTATCCAAAAGCTGTAAAGGTGCCCCAAAAGTGGCACCAATATTTGCGACTTATTTTGGAAAAAAAATTTCGTACTAATACACTTTGCTTCTTAAGAGTAAAAACAACTTTCGAAATTAGAATTCGGTCACGTTTTTTGTGAACTTTACTTTTTCGCTGTTCGATAGTGGATTTTGGCTTTCTTTTAATATTGGAAATAAACTGAACTTAAAAACAAATCAAAAGTCAGGCCGTGAAAAATAAAAATTGAGCTGAAAAAATCAAAAAAAAATTAAGACCTATAGAAGAGTCTTTACTAGGTTCATTGCTCTGAAACACTATCACAATGCTATTCTGAGATAACTTTCTGTGCCGACACGTTTTAAGCATTCTTGGAAGTTAAAATAAACGAGTCTTAGATGTGTCAACAAAGCCGACAAAACAAGCGGCTAAATATTAGGCGAGAATTTTTTGATCTGGAAAATTAAACGTTTAAAAAAGAGGTCCAGGTCAGATTTGAACCCAGAAACTTTGCCATCCCAAGCGTATTCGAAGCACCAGGCTAAATGTGCAAGAGGCACTACAAAATTTGAATTCATTTTAAACCAAGGTACATCAGGAGTCCAATGAGTCCTTTGGACAAAGTTGTTTACGGGCAAAAAAGTCTTGTACTCGATTGTAATACCCTTGTTTATCGCAAGGGGGGAAAATTATAACTTAGTGAGAAAACTGCCACAATCGTTTTTTTATTCTGCTGGCAAAACTTATTTGGTGGAAAAAAAATGAATCGCACATTCAGAAGTCATACCATACTACCCTTTTCGAGCTCTTTCAATTCTTGTTATTGGAGTCCTGAAATGTCTATAAAATTCTGCTACTCTAATGTTCAAAAAAGCATCATCAAGCTGGCTAGTTGCACCGCAAAAAAAGGACTTCTTTTTCAAATATCAACTTTCGAATTTAAAAAAATGTGTGCCCTTAAAGCTCTTTGAATTTCAAGAACAATTTACGATTGGTGCTTTTTTGATAAAATTAACTCAATTTGAGACAACTGGACAAGTTATGTAAGCTTTAAATTCTTCCGGGAGATCGTAACATTAATATCATTTTTCGAAACTAGAAGTCGATTAGATTTTTCGTGACCTTGACACTTTTGCAGTTCGATAGTGAAGTTTGCCTTCCTTTAAACAATAGAAAAGAACTGAACTTCTAAAAAAAATCAAAAACCAAAGAGCAAAAACAAATCAAAATTGAGCGTGACCAAATTTTAAGTTCAGCGTGACCAAATTTTACTTCAGAGGGAACAATTCGATTAAAGCTTTTGGATAAAATTAACCCAATTTGAGAAAACTGGACGAATAGGTAATTTAAATTCGCTACATATGCTATTAAATTGCCAATTCGATGCAGCAAAAGTAGCACCAAATACAAAAAAAGACACAATTTTGAATGTAATAAATTGGAAGGCATAAAGTCAAACTATGTATAAATTATGCATTTCAAAAAACGTTGAAATATTTTGAGTTGGAAAATTTCAGAAATCGAGCTTTTAATCCTATTACTGTTGTTTGAAACAAACATTTTTTTTCGGTCCCTTTCATTTAACCATTAAAAATGCATCAGCTGTGTTAACTTTTCACTAATCAAATGTCAAAGCACATGCTATCCAAAAGCTGTAAAGGTGCCCCAAAAGTGGCACCAATATTTGCTACTCAGTTTGGAAAAAAAATTGTACAAAAACACTTTGCTTCTTAAGTGTAAAAACAACTTTCGAAATAAGAATTCGGTCACGTTTTTTGTGAACTTTACTTTTTCGCTGTTCGATAGTGGATTTTGGCTTTCTTTTAATAATGGAAATAAGCTGAACTTAAAAACAAATCAAAAATCAGGCCGTGAAAAATAAAAATTGAGCTGAAAAAATCAAAAAAATTAAGACCTATAGAAGAGTCTTTTCTAGGTTCATTGCTCTGAAACACTATCACAATGCTATTCTGAGATAACTTTCTGTACCGACACGTTTTAAGCATTCTTGGAAGTTTTTGATTCAACAAAAAATCGTTTTTTTGCGCTCTCCTCAAAGGTAAAAAAATATATACTAGGGCCACATTAAAAAAATTTCTAGGCTCAATCAGCATCAGCTTAAAATAGATGTCGTACAATATTATCCAAGGGAAAACTCATTGGGTAGAGAGGCGTCGAACCCCTGAGATGGAGGTGGTCGTCTGCCCCAATCCTTCCTCCAAAAAAATCGACAACTGGTTGCAACAACTTACTCGATGAAAAACAAAATTTATGATTTGAGAAGAGTTTGCAATTGTTTTCTTACCTAAGTTCCGAGTAAGCAAACTAGTATCATTCATTAAATGGTTCTCATGCAAGTTTGAACTTCGCAACTGCAGTTTTTGCTTCTCTAGTTATAAGTATTCCGCCCTTATGATGTGGTGCTTATGATGAGATCATCTCGGCAAAACTTCGAGTACTGAAGGTATTATTGAAATCGATAGTACAATCGTACAAGATATTATTTTTGTAAATGTACAAATGTTAAAGAGTTAGAGTGAAATAAGCAAACTAAATATAGGCACATAAATGAGTGAGTTTATCATGACCTTTGCCGCGAATAAAATTTTTTAACGAAAGTTCATTTTTAAAGGGACAAAGATCACATCAAATGTATGTTTCCACTATCCACTATTTCTAATCGAGTACACCCTATCACCATAATATCTTCTGATAATACATCAACATCATTTTTGGCTTTATCGAAGACAGAATTACGAAAATGATTGTACCTTCGGTGATACGAAAATATGGATAAGATAAAGTGAAGATCCACTATAACTCTAATCTAATTATCATTAATATCAACACAAACTCAAGCATTAGTTATCATAATAATTATTTATCCAAACTCAATTATTAGTTTCGCTACCAAATGATTCCCTGCACATATGATAAAAGTATGTAGCCGATAGATAGAAACCAGCAGAAAATTCATTCATCGTTCAAAACATTTTATCAAGTTGTTAGTTTCCATGGATCTCGATATTAATCCCCCTGCATTATAAACGGAGAAACTCGTTGCGTATTTGAATATTAAATTTTGCTTAACCGTCAGATAAGTTCATAGTTAGGCAGGCTATTCATTCATTACTACCTATCATACTGGGGTCGGGGGTTTCGTAAGGAGATCCGTATCCTTCCTGTTGTGAAGTTATTTCTTCAGGTTAATTTGAGCCTACGCATACCTGATATTCTTGAAAGAAAAGCACAGTTAATTTGGATTCATATTTGATAAATTCAAATTATCACGTATTCGGAAAATTGTAAGATATTGTGAGGTAAAGAAAGCATTCACGTTATATAGTACGTTTTCTCGACAGTATTTTTTTGTGATTCGCCTCGAAATTTTTGTCAAAACAATTTGCCTTTAAAACGTAATTCTCCAATCAAAGGTACAGCCGGATAGTAAATTGATAATGATAATAATAAAATATACCGTGCCCAAACAGATCGATCAAAAATAGAATAAAGCGTCATTACTCCCAGAAATATAAGTACAATATGCATTTCTATTTGCATTCAAAATAAAATGATTTATTACAAAGATGCAACAACGCAAGAAAAATTCCTCTAGCTAGCTATACAATTCATTGAGCGAAAGAAGACTTAAGCTGGGGTAGACCAAAAGTTCAATTTTGATGGAAATGAAATATTTTGTTGATTATTTCTGTGTTATCGTAAATTACACTATCATTTCGAATAATTCCATCTGTGGGGTTTGCAAATTGTGTTACCATGACGGTAAATTAAGATTCCAGGCCCAAATAATATTTCTTTATATTGACGCAGAATAAGTCTTTCGATCGTTTCCAGTTCTTTCCTGCTACATTACTTTCGTTTTTGAGACCAGTTGAAAATTTTCTTTGACATAGATTGAAATTGAGCCAGTTTTTATAGAATTTGTTCAATCACTCGTCCTTCTTCTCCTCGTCGCCCTTGTTCATGGCGTCGTGGATCATTTTCTCAGTGGCAGCTTTCGTTCCCAAATCTGCGGCTAGGTGAGCTCCTGAAACAAAACCACGCATCCTTGAAAAACCGTTGAAACAACGCCCAATATGAAGCGCATTTAATTGGATAGAACATTACAACAGATTCAGAACCAAAACCACGAATTTTTAAAATTACATCTGAGACTGGCCACACAAGACAACTTTTAGCCGCAAAACCAATAAATTGAAGGAAAAAACCTAAATTTTGTTTAAACGGCATAGCATAGCGTAATTTTTCCTTAGGAAATGGACAGACTGGCCAATACCGATTCAACTAGAGGTTTATAATTGGTCACGTTGCTAGGCACTCACCTCGCATCAGTACTGCAAAAGTAAAATCAACCTGATTGCAAACAACACTGAAAATACTGTTCGCCCACTCCGTGATTTAGATTCATAATTAGTCTATAAAATTAGTCTTTTCAGTCACGTTTCTTACATTTATTCTCCAAACAGTTTTTCAAAAAATTCAAAGTAGTCATGCACAGCAGAGAAAAAGAATTGTGGTAAGCAAGGTATCAAACTTTTTCAACTAAAATGAATCTATAAGAAAAAATCTCAAAAGCTTCCATGTTTTTGCATGAACCGCGGTCAGTTACAAAACAAAAGGTTTTCAAAAAACGTTCAAAACGCACTTTGCAATTTCGAATGAACATCTATTGCCTTTTGATGACCACCTATCTTTCGATTAGTATTCTGACCTTCGCTGGCGAGTTGTCCTCCCTTCTCGATATATGAGTCGATCTGTTTCTCGTGTCTCTTCACAAATGGCTTCAGCACCCGCTTGTAAATGAAGTCAGCCCCGTTCCACTCGTAGGGAGCCATGCACCAGCCCAGGAACACCAGCTGCAATCAAGGAAATAGTTGTCAAATCGAACCATTTTATAGATGAGAACTATTCACAAACAAAATAGCAAAATTGTAACAATGAATCCAGAAACTAGAACTTCAGACGTCAAAAATTTTAAAACAATTTTAATACCAAAACATTTATTTACATCTATAAGATGACAGACAAATACGGAAAAAACGTGTAGAAAAAGTCTAATGCTAAAGATTGATTTGAAAACAGTCTTCGATCAAGTAAGAGTTGTTAGTCCGAACTGTCAGTTATATTTTGATAGTATTTTGTAATGAATAGGTCTACGAAGAGAGAAGGCGGCGACTGACCTTTGCGAGGAAGTAGAAGGGGAACCAGGAGAGGAGGATGTCGGAAAAGAATTCCACTATCATGAACGAAGAGTACACCACCCAGTACGTCAACCACTGCAAACAACACCCACATACATGCTCACATATACTATAAACCTATAATCTCACTTACAATGGACCAATTGATTTCAAAACTCTTTTTACATTGTTTTCTACTCATTTTTAATTGTATGAAACTAGCTGCTTGCTCACCAACTCACATATCCTTAACCTAGTCTTCAGACCGAAACGCTTCAATTTTTTTCACGTCTCAATCACTAACATGATCCCTTAAAACACTGCTTTATCGCACCTGCGTGTCATCTTTTTTGTCCTCAGTCTCGATGGCCTTGATGGACTTGTAGGCAGGGAAGACAAATCCAATCAAGTTACAGATCAGATCTCCGCCGTATCCAAACACAATGTAGAGCAACAGGAATGCGCCGAAGCCCAGAGCCCAGTATGTCCGCTTCACACCCGTCTTTGCCTCCAGCTTCTCGAAGTAGGGGGTCATTTTACTCTGCTGGTAGAGGATCTCGTCCAATTTTCCGATGTATTTTTGTGCCATTATTTCAGTGAATTAAAATCTATCTGAAAAACATTTCCAACATATCATATATCAAATGACATGATTCGTCTTGTCGAAAATCGTGTTCAGTTTGAGTTTAAGTCTTGGCGTACAGGAATAACTAAGTTATTGAAATCTGGGATTTTTAATCCAGTTTAACCTCTCAGTTTCCAATTTACAGGGTCTTACTCTCGACTGAGACTCTTCAAATTTATAACAAACCACCGTGAAGCCAATAAAACAACAATGCCTTAACTTGTGCACTTTGATACAGATTCAGTTGAAATTACGCAATGAAAACATTTCAAAACTTTTGAAGATTGCAGGTTGGATTTAAAATCTCAAACTACTGCTACACTAGTAGACAAAATTAAACGCAAACTCTGGATTTCATTTTCTTATATGCATTTTTTCAAGGAACATCTTAGACATTTACTAAACAAAATGTTTATGTCGGCCGAGAGCAAATGATCTGAGCTATCCTTTACGAAAGTTTCAATCACTGATTACAGGGTTCTATCAAATGACATGTTTTTCACACAGAGGCGAAGCTGCACTTCAAAAACACAAGCAAAAAATCTCCAAGAAAAAGCTTTAAAAGAGTATAAAGATCAAAAGGCAAAAAAACCAAGTGAATAAGTTTTGCGAAATATGTGACTCCTACGGGATTCGCACCTCCATCCTCAGACGCCCAATTATGTGACTGCCGTACAGACCAGTGCCATTGGAGCTTACAGAATCCAAACACTAGTCACTAATATAATGGAGAATACATGCTATTGAACTACCAATATTATACAACAAAAGTCCCATGTTGCCTAGCATGAAAGAACAGAGCCCAGGGACAGACTTTTTTCTGTGAATGAGACAAGTTTCACGTCTGAATACACCTGTTGTGACCATCCGCAGTAAGGGTTCTCAACGGTGTGAAAATGTAAGAAGCAGCTTATTCAAGAACGTTTTTTTTTAACTTGCAAAGCAATTCAATTTTTTATTGAAACTGTTTCAGATGTCTTGGACATTTTTCTCTTCGCTGATTTGAGAAAGAATTCATGCAGTTGGCTAAAGTTACAACGGATTGTGAAAACTGGCAATTTCAGGCAAGGAAAAACTGGCAAGCCTTTGAAACAAAATATTGCATCTTTCGCACATGGTAGCCTGGATCATTTGCTCTCGGCCATAATGAAAATTGTTTAAACTCTGTCCAATCTCTGTCCAAAAATTTTTTCAAGATAGACTTTTTAGAGATTAAGAACCCTAGCTTGCGTTTACTTGTCCTATGGTGTATATAAGCAAAAAAAAGTAAAAATTTCGATCGACAAGAAGAAAAGCATAGTAAAAACCACTCACCCGTTTTTAAACAAACGTAAGTTCGTTGAAATGAACTTGAGCGCCTGAACAAATGAATATGCTGGACTGAGCTGAATACACTTTAAAACAAGTGTGCATAAAATGTGCAAAACAGTAATAAAACGTAATAACGCAGTCAGATTATTCGTATATAAGTTAATTCTTTCAGCAAGAAATCAGATTTGATCAGGCCAGCAAGTTGGTCAATACATTTTCATACAAAGAAATTCGACCAAAGTACCTCAAAAAATCAGATTCCAAGTTAAAACAAAAAACATCGGTAAATGCCGCTTGCAATTGCAAGAAGTTAGGATGATTATTCATTATACTCCTCTCATGGCAAATAATAATTAAATTTTCCCATTTTGCCAACACAGATGCTGCCAATAATGCCATTCGATTTGAAGTTTTAAATAAGCGTATTATACAACTGTGAGATCTAGACAATTGTTAGATCTATAAAGCATTTTGTTCTAAAGCCTAAATTACGGATAGATAACTCTAAAAACTAAAAATGTTAACTAAACAGAAAACTCTTCGACTCTCGCCCTTATGGTAGCTAGATAAGCTCCGTTAAGGTCTATTTCATTTTCATCGGTTAAGCATCTGCGAATACAGTATCTAGTAACGAATCCATCTCTTTTGCAACACAGTGGCATTTGTACTTAAAACCTGAATCACATTTTTTCACAATGTTCGTTACAACTTTTTCCGAAAATGAGAAATTGCTAATATCGTTGTTTTTTTTGCGGGTCAAAGCTAAGATAACCTGAAAACAACAAGTAAAACGATAATCAAAGCAAAAAAAACTATACTGAACGAGATACAATACTAACAAGGATAACCGGTTGCAGAAAGTTCCGACCACAATACAAGAAAACCAAAATCTGTAGTTTTTTCCAAATTTGGTCGTTTTGTAATCGTGGTATGAAGGGAGGATTTGAAGTAAAGCCTATAACTTTAGCAGATTCGATAGTAATTGTAATTTAGGCAGATTTGCTAACAAAGTTCCTCGAAAAAACGATCATGGATAAAAATCTTTAGAATCTTCAGGCGCTTAAAAAACTCAGAAATTTTATTTTATTGAAGCAAAACTAAAATTTTCAAATTAAGGCCCTTTAAAAAAAATCAAAAACTTAAGTTTACAGAAGTAAAACTAAGTTTTCACTGCCTAACTCGAAATCGAAGCCTATTATTCTAGGTCTTTAATGTGATATATCATCAGCCGATTCCGATGATCATGTAGTACCTGATTTTGCGTGCAAAAAAAATGAAGACTAAAACACGCCAGAAGACAAAATTCCTCTCCTTTTTCCGCGGAGAGCAAAAACAAGTACAAGATTTAGAGAATGAAAGAAGTACCATTCAACAAAATTCTCACAGAGGTTTCCAGCCATAAATATAAATTAAATTGCTTCGCCCTACAAAATTGAGGACGTGTTTTTGCAGACAGGTTTTTGCACGAGAAGATCGATGAAAAAATCTTTTTTTTTGACAATTTCCTAATTTTTGGAGTCATTTTGGGCACTTGCTCAAGTATACCTGAGCCATAGTGGTTTTTGCGGTTTTTTGTTCTTTTGTCAAAAAGGGCCTATGTGTCTGAAATTGCGTGTTTTCAGGCTTCTCAACGAAAGCACATATCAAAAAGAACTCGAAGGAAAGCTTGGTACTCAAAATTTACTCAAAAGTTGGCCTTAAGATTTTTTTCTTAAAAGTCGTTGTTTTTTTTCTAAGTCAAAGACCCTAGTTGAGCGAAAATTGACTATTAAGGCATGAAAACCAGTAATCATAGATCTCGAAAAAATTATGGATTTGAAAAAACTTCAAATTAGGGCGCTTAAAAAAACTCAAAAATTTAACTTTACTGAAGTAAAACTAAGTTTTCACAGCTTAATTTGCAATCGAAGCTTACTATTGTACATCTTTAATGTGATATATCACTCGGTCCATTCCGATGATTATTCGTAGTACCTGATTTTGCTTGGAAAAAAATTTAAAAGTAAAACACGCCAGAAGACTAAGTTCCCCTCCTTCTCCAGCGGAGAGCAACAACAAGTAAAAGCACTAAAAAAATTAAATCAAAGCGTAGATATGCTAAGTGGGGCTTCGTATCATTTGCGATGAACAAAACAAACATAGGCGAAGCAGAGCTTTGCACCTTTCCGTCCCTTTCCAAATTGTTTAAGTTCATTTTTTTTCATTGAAATAATTGTAATCGTATTAATCAAAACTAGCTCGTCTCGATTGACCAATCCGCTCGATATCACGAATCGCAAAACTGTTCTGAGCCACAGTTCAAGCAATTAAACTTTTGAAACTTTCCATGTTATTTCATACCTTAAATCGATTTTAAAAAATCGTTTAAGCTTTCAAAAAATTCAATTGACTTCTCAATGAGCCGATTCACATGAAAAAAACGTTATTCCAAGCAAGCGATTCAAACAACAAAACTTTTGAAGTTTTTCCATCCTGTGAATCGATCGGCAGAAATTTAATAAAGCGCTGAAAGCTTTGGAAAATCTGAAGCTAACATATAGCGTGGATCGGTTCGCAAAAGATAAGGTTCTTTCTAGTAAGCTACTCAAGCTATAAAAGTTTGACGCTTTCCAGGTGCATTCAACTTCTCCAAGTAAGCCACTAAGCGCTGTAACTTTGAGGTAAATCAATCTTATTCATAGAACGAATCGGTTGGCGAAGAAAAAAAATTCTAAGCAAGGTCTTCAAGCGACGAAACGATGAATTATTTCAAAGTATTTATTAGGTACTTCGACTCGCAAAGTTTTTATCTTTCTGATCGGACCAATCAAGGGTTGAAATTTGCGAAACTTTCTACTGGAACGAATCCTATTAAGTTGAGGCAAAAATGATTGAGGCAATGAAACAAATATGAGACGTTCGTTATTCCATACTGTGAATCGAATGGCATTGAAACTTTTGAAAAAATGAAATTAAAGAAAAAGCGTGAATCGAACAGCAAAAGTTCAATTCTTAGTGAGAAATTGAAACCGTGAAGCTGAAAATAAGTTACTTCATTGAGTGATTGGTTCACGAAAAATCTGCTTAACAAATTTTTCTAAACAAGCTATTCAAGAGATGAAACTTTGAAAAATGTATCAAGTTAGTTTGCACATCGAATCAGCTTGCACGAAACTTCAGATTTTCTCATCAACTTTTTCATGTGAAGAATTTTGAACTAATTAGTTCTTTCATGTCGTGAATCGATTCGCAAAACGGATGATTCACTAAGCAAGCTATTGAGTTATTCAAATTTGTGAAAGAATTTAAATTATTTCTTAGAGCAAAAAGGCTCGCAAAAGATAAGGCTTTTTGAGCACGCCAATACTTCTTTTGAACTTTTTTATCTAAATTTTTTAAAAGTCAATTTAAACTTTATACTTCATATTCATAGAGAGAATCGGTTTGCAACAACTAAGTTTTTCTGGAATGATTGGCAAAAGTGTAAATTTTGCTAAGCAAGCCATTCAAGCGGTGATTTCAAAGTTTTTCAAATTGATTAATAGCGTGAATCCGTCCACATTTTGTTCGAAACAGTCTGAGCAAGCTATTTAAGCTATTAAAATATAGTCAAGTTATTTCAAAGAGCAGATCAGCTCCCGAAAATTTTAGTTTTTCTAAGCAAGATGTACTAATAGAGTTTGAAGAAAGCTCGACTTTCAAAGCAAGCAATCCAATTTGAAGATTTTAAAAGCAGGCTATTAAGGCGATTGATACTTCAAAGGCAATGTATTTCAAAGTTAGCTGTTCAAGCAACGGAACTTTGAAAAATTTAACATTGAACAAACCGGTTCGGAAAAAAACGGTTTTTCTTAGCAATCTAATTAAGCGATGAAATTAAACTAAGTCAAAAACCTGTATGCAGCAAAACGATTTACGAATTTCAAGATTTTTTAAGCGAGCTACCCATGCTCGAAAAAAAAATTGAAAAATGTCAAATTGTTTTGAAAGCTTGAATCGAACCGCAAAAAGTATACGTCTTTTTCAAGCCACCTTTTTTTGACCAATAAAATTCAGAAATTAAGGTTGGGCGTACAGCTTTAATTTTTTCGCTAAAGCGCTTAAGTTTTTTCAAGCAAGCTAGTGAGCACTGAAATAATGAACTGAAATTTTTTGTTTTTCGGTTCGTCGTTGATCGGTTAGCGAAAAGATAAAATTACAAAGCAATTTTTGAGCAATACACCTTCAAAATATTTCAAGTTGATTTCATAGCTTGATTTTATTGATTTTAGTCGCAAATAATTTAAACTTTTTCGAGCAGGCGGATGAGCAAACAAATTTTTTTTGAACAAAAACATCAATTTCGAAGCTCAAATTGGTCCGCAAAAGGCTTTAGCTATTTTCCAACCATGCTATTGTGCAACAAAACTTTGAATATTTTCAAGTTGTTCTAGAAATCGACTCATTCGAGCAGCTTGATTAGAAAATGCGACGCTCCTAATTTAAATTTGACTGTTCTACGACAATAGAGAGTTTATTTCTTTTAGATCGCTCGTTTTAGAAATGATAACACTAACGACTCTACAGAACACTAACTGCGCGACAGAAAATTGAAAAATTGTTTTAAAGCGCATTAAGACTATCATTTAATATAAAAGATTTTTCAAAGTTGGACTATTCAATTCCTATTGATGTTTTTTATGTTCATGATTACGAAGAAGAAAATGAACCGTGAAAAAATCTCGCAATAAGGAAAAGCGGAGCTTCTAATGACTTACGATACAGAAAAACTGAAAAGGTTTAGATTAAAGCCCCAAAAGTAAAGATTTAAATCTGTTTTCTCTTAGAAATCAGTCAAAAATGAATAAAGCAAACTAAGATAAACCCGAGCTTGTATTTAAAATCGGCAAACACAATTTTGCCAGCAAGTAATTATATTTGAATCATTTATATTTGTATTTTATTTTATATTTATTTTGAATAAAAAATTAACCATTTCAGCAGTGATAAGTTCCGAGATGTGAGATAGAAGAGTAGCAGGATGTGAACTATTTCTGTGAGAGAAATTGTTCACAGGAAAAATCCACTACCTCATTACAATCCAATTGCTTATCGCAAGAGCAAAAAAGTGAACCTCAGTTCAAAAAGGTCGAATAGATGTTTCAACACAGGGGTGAATCACTTACATTTCAAAAAAAGTAACAATATAATTGAAAAGATGAGGCCCATATAGCGCATGACATATTTTTAAAAAAATTGATGAAGGATAGCCGGTTGCTGCGCAAGTAGCACAATGTTCTGACCATATTCGTTAAAAAAACAGATTTTTTTTTACTGTTTTTCGAATAGAAGACGCTTTTAGAGGAGGGTTTGATTCAAGTACTACATAATCGCGTATAAAAATGTCAAATTAGGCATCAATGAAAGTAAATAACTATAAAAAAGGAATAAAGAACCAAAAAACGAAAAAAAAATATAAATCTTTTTTCTATCTTTTTGCACAATAATTTAAATTTTTAAGAAAATCTTTTTCGTCAAACAAGCGCTTAAGGAAACATCCAAAACTAGTTTTCTTTAGAGCAAAATCAAGTTTTATCCTAGTAAAAAAAAACAGCTAATTTCTATACAACGAGCGTTAATCGATCGCGTTGAAATTCAAGAAGTTATTTTAATTTAAAACTTCTGATATTTTTTTGAAAATTATTTAAAAAACGTCATATCTCGGAAACAAACGTCATATCTCGGACAAAAAACGTCATAAGTTTCAACAAAATTATCTTCCAAAACGTTCAAAAATCGTAAAACGTCATATCTCAAAGCCTAAGAGGATTTGACCAAACATATAGCGACTGAAATTGCATTTCTGAGATCACCCTAATGATGGATTGAGAATTTGAGATTTGTCTAAGGATTAAATTAATTTTTTTTTTTGAAAAACCATAAAACTCGTCATTTCTCGGAAACTAAAGAAGTTTGAGCCGTTACACTTAGAGACATTGGTAACCTGAGAGTACCTTGACAGCGCCCAATTACAAGGTTGGGAATATCAACTTCTTATTTAATAAATCTATGTTTTCTGGAAATTTTTGAAACAATCAGAAAAACGTCATCATATCTTGAAAAATAACAGGATTTGAGCAGTCAAATTTTGCAGCCAAATTTTCATTTCCTGAGATCACAATGGCAGCACCCCATTATTGGAATGAGAATTTCAGATTTGTCAAGGATTTTCACATTGAAAATTTTCGAAAACTCCCATGTCCTCATAAACATATTTGAGCAGTCAAATTTGAAGGAAAGATTTGAAATTCCTGAGAGTACCCTGACAACGCCCAATTACGGGGTTGGGTATTTTTAATTTTAATTTTTCAAAAACTTATCTGAAAACTTTTGAAAAAATCACAGAAATCATCGTATCTCGTGACCAAAAAGGATTTGGGTTTTCGTATTTAAAGGCCAAATTTGCAACCCCTGGTGAACCCTGACATCATGCTACTATTGCGTTGCTAATTTCAAACTTGGTGAACAAAATGCTCAATTAAAATTGGGAATTCGAAAAAGTTTCTACGTTTTGGAAGATACGGTATAGCTTAAATGTGAAAAAATTCTTTCGTTACAGATGCGAAAAATACGTCGAAAAAGCTTAAACATGGCGAGATAGCGAATCCCAAACTAAAATATATAATAGATACAATAGAGATAGACGTCATAAAAACTACATCACCATAAATTTCGCACACTTGTCTTGAATAATGTTAATTTGGGGGAAAAAGTCGACAAACACAATCGCCAAGGTTATATAAGGGCAAAATATTGACTACAGTTAGTTTTTCCATGCAAGTTTTTGCAAAGCTTTTCAACACTGAGATAAAGAATACCACCATTATGAAAGAGAGAACCAATTCGCAAAACTGAGTTAATTCAGTCTCACATTTGCAATTTCACTTTGCAGCCCACGCACTGGTCTTGTTGCAGGCGGCTGTATTTGAAATCAAAATCTGGATTTTGTCCATAAAAAAGTCAATTTTTTTAACTCGAGAATTTGAAAGCAGTAAAAGAAGAGGAAAGCTAAAACTGTTAACGCAAAAATATGGAAGAAACGAAGCATCAAAAAATAATCACCTGGAGTAAAGTTTGGAATTCTCATACTTTTGATTTGAACTCAGAACAGACAAAAAAAACGAATTGAAAAAAGTTAGCCTCGAGTTATTGTCAATTTGAGGACGAGATTTTTACAATTAATATACTGAAAATAAAATAACTGTCTTTCAAAAACAAAACAGATAAAGAAGACGCAAAACCCCAGGAGCTTTCATTTGTACGATTTGTACTGACATGCAGAAACATCGGCAAAAAACCTCAAAAAGATTACATCATGTTTGTCAAAGCCGCACCCATTTTATCACAACATACTTCCTTTGAATAAAAACAGGACAGTCCGGATGAAGGTCTTCAGTGAAGCGCGACATTCGACACCGATAGCCTTAAGCATATTAAAAGGTACTTAATTCTCGTGCGAAAGAGCACGCCATGATTCCGGCCTTCCGCAAGAGTGGTCGAAACAATCATGCATTAATCGTGCATTTTCAAATTTCGAGGAAAAAAGACTACCCAAAAAACGGCATATAAAATGTATGCGTTTGCCGTATTGTCATATCATCTCTTACCATGACTTAACTCGGCTTAAAAAACGGATCAATAGAAGTAAAATTCATAGACTTTCAAAAATTTAAAATCCCAAAACAAGATCACTTCGTAACATCTTACAGAGAACAGGATTTATAGACCAAGCTCAATCTCTGCAGGACAAAACTATAAGAACTGCGCTTCATCACTCACAGACCACATGTTTGAAGCTTCATTTGACGCGCTTCTTTAAATTGGCCACTTGTAGCTTCAGTTTCAAATTTTCTTTCCTCTTTAGCATTTCTCTGTTCTTCATTCTGCAGATAATTTTCCGCAAACGATGATGTTCCGACTTCAAACGGGAAAACTGACGGGCCAAAGTTGTTAAATTGTCCTCATCGCATTTTTCATTAGATCCGCCTGTTCTCTTTTCAGACAAGAAAATTGCACTTTCTATAAGACAAATTCTTTTCAACAAGAATTATTCAGTAGCGTTGCTATTGAATACTCAGAGCAAACATTCTTAGGAAGCATGAATACAACTGCTCGTATCAAGGCAAAGCCCTGAATGCTCCTACAACGACTGCCTATTAATTAGTCTCGAATAGTTTTTGGTTAATGAAATGTTGACTGATGTTTAAGCTGATATCAAATTTTTAAAGCTAAAGATTGAGTTAAGCAGTTAATTGAAAAGACCACTTATGGCGGACAGTCATTAGGCAGAATGGTTTAAGAGCAGAAAAACAGACAAATTTTATATTGATTGAACTAACCGACAAAAACAATTTTTGGAACTACAGTGCTGATTTAAATTAACCGGACAAATCGCGTTAAACTTGAAATTTAAAACCCGTTTTTCTCAAATTGTGTTGAGTTTAGGTGAAAACTTATGAAGACAAAATTTGCTTAAAATTTTAGCAGATTTAAAATGGTTTAATTTATTTTGCGAAATTCGGGCCCGAAATTTTACCCCAAAAATGGGTCATTTTGGCTTTCTTAGTTAATCAAAAATTACGCCAAAAATACCCAGTCGATCACAGACATAATTATATCAAAATGAGCCCTTTACGTAGCCCAACAAACTTTAAGAAGGGTATTTTCTCCAAAAAAAATTGCAAATTGTTTAAAAATTGTTTTTAAATAAAAAGTTGGTATTTTATATAGTAAAAACGACCTTTTTTGTCTATCAAACAAAAGAAAAATACTTTATAAAATTTTTTGGAGGTTATGTCCTTCTTAAAGTTTGTGGGCAACGTAAGAGGCTCACTTTGATATAATTATGTCTGTGATCGACTGGGTATTTTTGGCGTAATTTTTGATTAACTAAGAAAAGCCAAAATGACCCATTTTTGGGGTAAAATTTCGGGCCCGAATTTCGCAAAATAAATTACACCATATTAATTCTGCTAAAATTTTAAGCAAGTTTTGTCTTCATAAGTTTTCACCTAAACTCAACCCAATTTGAGAAAAACGGGTTTTAAATTTCAAGTTTAACGCGTTTTGTCTGGTTAATTTAAATCAGCACTGTACTACCAAGGAAATAAAGATGAATTAACTCAATTAAAGTATAACTTGCTTTTAACGCACTTCCAGTGCCTCAAACAGATAAGTGAACGTGAAAGTTGTTAATATACTTATTTTAAAAAAACACCAAATGAATGCAACCACGACAAAAGACGGGGAAATCCAACAACGCTTCTGATTTCAAAATTTGAAGGATAAAAATAATTTCAACTATTTTGAAATAACTACTGGGTTTCAGATCTGCGTAGTTTTACCTCAAAAACGAGGAAACCCCGCAATGGCCGACAGCATAAAACTGCACGTTCCAGATTTTTAAAAATGAAACAATTTTATTAGCAAAATCATCAAATTTATAAAATGGATTCATAATCCAGCGTAACTAATGTCAAAAATCACTCTTTTTTTCATGTCATTGTAAGTTTCATCAAAAATTTTTAAAATATCACAAGAAACCCAACAGTAAAATTTAAACCCACACCAAAGGAACGACGATTTCAAATATGAAATGTAACACTTTTGAAAATTTTCAAAAACATCATAAAACATCATACCTAAGAAAGTAAAAGGCGTTGAACAGTCATATTTTGAACAGTTCTTTTTTATTTCATAGACTTTTTCAAAAAATTTTGAAACATATTGAACAAACGTGATATCTCGGAACTCAAAAGCATTTGAGCAATCACATCTATTTGTTTCTTTGATTATATTGACAATTTTAATATGTGCTTTACCGCTCAGCTTATAAAAGTGATTAGACAAGTGAATATTTTGCTCTTAGACCAGTTCTGGTCTTAGATCATTCTGCTCAATGCAACGCCTCCGCCAATTATTTTGATTCAACTCAGTTAGGAACGATTTGGTAGTGCGGGATAATACGCCACGCGTAAAAAATGCGCGTTACACTTTCAGCATCAAAGTAGAAAACGAGCAGTTTCGCTAGACTCATGTTAGGATAATATAGTGGTGTGCGAACGCTGCGAGGCCCAAGAAGATCCATGGATCAAACGCCCCACATCTTTAGCAAATTGGCCTGAATAGAAAAAAAACCACCCCGAGCATAAATACTCTTCACTTTCTTCCGAAGTCGTAACAAAATAAAGTAAATACAAATTCATAATTAACTTCTGATTTCGGTTGTTTGCTCTTCAATTAATTGTATTGTATAAACTTGACAACAGATTTCTTGCGATATATCTCTAGTCAAATTTAGTTAAATGAAATCTGTGATTATAACATTTACCTAGTAGTTTATCTGCACTGGGCCTTTCTTTCGGGTCCAACGCTATCAATTTTTCAATGTATTTGCAAACGGTCGGCCAATTTCTGCTGATAGACTGGTCCGGAACCTTCCCAGTTTTCTTCAACTGCTCGATCACTCTTGCCCGCTCCATAGAAGTTGAAAACGGGTTGTAAAGCTCAAATAAAACAATACCCAAACTAAACATGTCCACTTTTGAGGTGTAACTTCCTTTGCCATTCAAAAGTTCAGGGGCCACGTACGGATAGGATCCGATTCCGTCCGAAAGACCCAATACTTTGGTTTCCGATTTCAGAAGAATCTCTCCCTCTGCTTTTGTTTCCTCTGAGTTATCTTCAAAGGATTCGTCGATATGTCGCGCTAATCCGTAATCACCCACCCAAATGTGCAAGCTTTTCGGGTCAATAAAAATATTCTGCAGCTTTAAATCCCTGTGCACTACATTTTTACTATGTATGTAGCTCAAAGCACTTGTGATCTGCTTGAAAATATGCAAATTTGATTTGTGCTCTACGAACGACCATGAACTTTTAGACTCTGCTGCTCGTACGTTCCGCTGATTTACCCACTGCTTTAAGCTTGCGTCGTAAAGTTCCATTTGTATGAAAAGCGCGAAACATCCTGAAATTTCTTGTGAACTCGAGTAACGCAAAGCAGCAACTTCTAAACAATTTGTGTCTGCTGGTTTGTCGACTTTGTCCAAATCAACAGAGTTAGGACAACTGAAAGATCTGCTGAAAGAGGGGCTGCTTCTATATCTACCATGCAAACTAGACTTGAAGGTACTTCCAGCACCTCCATTCGACTGATTTTCAGTTGCTTGCCTTGTCTCGAGTGGTTGCGAGTATTTTCTAAGAACTTCGGAAGGAATAGAAGAACTTTCACAATCTGATTCGCTTGTAATTTCAATAACTTCGAGTTTCATATCTGTTTTAATTTGATCAATTTGAATAGTTTCTATGGCAGACGCTGGTTCAGTGCCAAAAACAATCCCACCTTCTGATTCATCGGAAACATTAGAATCGTTTGCATTTCCATTTGACGTTGAAGTCGTTGCGGAAGTTTTATTCTTTTTATTTGAAGAACAAAGAGCAGAACTTGATTCCACCTCTGATGATAAATTTGTATTCCGAGAAATTCCAGCGAAACACCCTGGCAATTTTGCAACAAATTCCATCCAAGCACCATGATAGCAAACTATGTTCGGATGCTTAAGTGTTGCTAGCACCCTGGCTTCTCGCATGATCTTCAGCTTCCCTTCATGCTTCACATCTTTCAGAAAAATTTTCTTTACGGCATAGTGAGTTAAATCAACTCTGTTTCTTGCGCGGTAAACAATTCCAAAGCCTCCTTTCCCTAAAACTCCAAGTTCCTCAAAATTACTCTCATATCGAGACGCGTTTAAATAGTCTGTAAACCAATCTTTGGGACATGGCAATGAGAGAGTTTGTAAGTCTATAGCACTCGACTGAGCACCTCCCAATGGCACAATGGTAGTAATATTTTTTCTTGCTTCCTGAATAATTCTCCAGAAACCTTTCAGGTAATGCCTTCGAAGGGGTTTCAGGTCATCAAGTACTTCTGATACGTTTGGAAAAATTTTGGATTCTTGGAGTTTTTCTAGAATAACTTTTAGTAAAGTTTCGCGAACAGCTTTATTAGACTCGACTTTAGCCAAAATTACCTCGAGCAGACCTACAAAAAGTATACTCATGTTGAGCGGCCCAGAGGAAGCCCCGTTATCAGTAACGTAATTTCTCCGAACGGAGGCGACACACTGCGATCTAATATTAGCATCAGAATCACTACTTTCAACAACTGTACCACTACCGGAAGCCTCGGTTGAGGTAGTTTGAAACCTGTATCTATCACCTAATGCATCTCCACTTTCAGAAGGCTGTTGCCTTTCCTGCTTAAAGTTCTCTTTCCCATTCATTTTATGTACATTATAAACACTCTGAAAAACAAAAAGTAAACACAAGCTTCGCAGAAACTTAAAGCTTTTCTTGACCAATGCTATTCCAACTCGAGACAAAGCAAAATCATTTTTGTACTAAAATTCTATTAATAGTCTGCAGTTTGATTGAGTTCATCAATGGTGGTGTGCTTTCATGACGTAACGAAGCCCACAGTAACCGCAGTCATGAGCTCCTGGTTTATCTAAATTGATATAAACTTTCGGATGTCCTAAAGCCGGATCGCCACCGTCACAGTAAACGTGATTACCGTCGATTTCAATAGGTGGTACTTCAGCTACCATTTCAATAGCAAAATTTGGATTAACTTGTTTCTCTTTTAATAGGAATCGAGCTTGTCGATTGTCTTCGGGTCCAAACTTCTGATGGGTGTGACCTACAGGTTCATTTTCACCGACAGAAGGTTTGACTCCAGCATTGGCCCGTGGAAAAACAGTCCTCCGCGTCACTACAAACGGAGCACGACAAACTCGTTTCAAAGATAACATGATTAGTCTAGAAATCGTAAATCAGAAGGTCAGACATTATCCTGGTAATCGAATTTACAACACTTGCTTTTTCTCAATTCGCCTAATTCTCAAATTAAGGATGAACGTCTTTTCTTGGTAATCAGAAGGTCAAAAGTATCATAGTAACCGAGGTTACAGTCATGAGTCCCTTCATCATGTATTCCGGTCAAAATCCTTGGAATTTTTTAGATATGGAAGTGATAATGATAAAAGAAGATGACAAGTGTTTAAGTCTTTTTCAATTAAAATCGATACGGGTTACGTTTCTTCAATAAGAACACGCAACTCGACACGAGATAATATAATATACAAGTGTTACAAGTAAAAATTTTCGTCGAAAGTTATTTTGTCATTTTTTGTTCCGAGTACGCAAACGGCGTTCGCAAACTGTATTGCCAGGGAGATTCTCTGTTTTAAAAAAACTGCCTGCTCTGGGTTCCTCAGTGCTTATGCTTAGGTTCTTACAAAGCTTGCTCAAAAAAACTTCTGTGCTGGGGCCGGCCGCGCCCTGAATTTCAAAAGCTAGCGGTTGAAAAAGATATCCATCATTTATAAGATCTTAATACTTTCAATTTTTCGCTCTTCCGCTTCAGCGGCAGCCGTACCAGGGTTACAAACAGACCCGGCATTAATCCTACAAGGAGCTAAGGAGTCTACTACCGTTACATCCCACAAGAGCTGCTTACCATCAGCCCATGGAACGAGCGTCAAACCGTCTGGTCGCTTCTGATCGGTCCTGTAGAGGTGTCGTGGTTCTAAAACAGACGGAATGTGAGTAGATGATAGACTCTGCTTTATAAGGGCATTCAGGTTTGAATGCCTAGAGAATCTCCCTGCACTTTTGAGGCAAGAAAGACCATGCCAACCATCCTCGGTAACGTCTTTTCCGCACACGCATCTATGCCGTTCGCATATTTTTGATCCTAATCGCAGTCCTATCGCAATTCTGAGTTGTTGGTTCGACAGTTTTAACCTTAAATTTTTGCACGGGATGACGTTCAACCATTGGGAGTCAAATCTATCTTGGAACGCGTTGAACCTTTTTACGTCCGTTGGTTCGAGTCGTAAAATCAAGTCTGCAATTTCGCTGTCAAAAATTGGCTCCGTCCAATTTTTTTAGATTTAATTTTCCGAAGCCATTTCAATTTTTCCAAGGTCAAACCACCGTTTAAGCGCATCATCATAGGTTCCATCCACATGCTTCAAACCAAAGATTTCGCTCAAGGCATCTTTTGCTCCTACTGCTGAGGCTAAGAAAGCGGGTAAAGCGAGTAGACGAGCGGAAGAAACGCCCAAGCCACCTATGGCTGCCGGAAGAACTGCTTGTAAAAACTGGTTATCATCCATTTTCACGTTAGTGACCTTGCATAACGAATTTCTTAGTAATTTATCATAGCGTTCCAAAAAACCATTTTGCAAAAAACAAGGGCTCGTACGCAAAAAATATAGGAGTTTTGGCATGCTAAAGCAATTTTTCAGGAGGTAAAAACCATAATGGGCGTCTAGTTTGTCAATGACATCCGAGATTTTTTCAAGCTCCTTAATTTTTTCGTCGAGCAATTCTTTTCGGCAAAGTTCGCCGATTGGAGATCCTAAAATGAGGAGTTCTTCTTTTGTTTTTATTTTTATTTTGGGGCATATTTTTCGAAATTGTGTTAAAATTGAATTATACTGTGTACTAGTAGTCGGTCCCAAAAAAACAAAGTTCACACTTCTCAGTGTTTAAGCTCAGGCCGTAAATTTGTTCCGATTTCAGAATGTTTTTGAGGTCCCGGAGTACTACCTTATAGTCGTCGGCTAAATTCCCGTCATCTAAATACCAGATGTTAATTTTCGACTCCAACTGTTTGACTAGTGTATGAATTGTTTCCGCAAAAAGGGGTGGGGCTTCAGGATCACCTTGCTGAGTTCCGTCTTCTGACATTATGACAGAGCTTCCGTAAAAAAAAGTAACTAGGTTTACCATACGCGCAATGGGTGTAATTATACAATTCGGGGCGATTTGAATTAACATGATTCAGCATTGTTTCTCTGTTTAAAGAGTTAAAAGCATTCTTCAAATCTAGTTTTAAAAGAACAGTGGGTTTTGGATTGTCGTCGCGTTCAATTAGATTTCGAAACGAGTGCGCAGCTATTTCTGCTCCTCGTTTGGTACCGCATCCTACCTGTACGTTTCCGAAAAAATTTTGTCGCTTGGAGAGGGCCTTGCTTCCAGCGCATTTAGACGCGATACGTCTCAGCATGTTGCCTATGGCAATCAGTCTCAACCCTCCGTCTATCTTTATGAGGGCGATAAGCTTTGCGCCAAAAACGAAAGGTCTTAGTGGTTCGGGTATTTTGCCATCTCCAATGAGGTTTATCAGCTTAGTAAGCGATTTCAGAAAATTAAGTCCTGCACTGGCATTCGACTTACTAACAAGATCTTTTACAAAATCGGTTACAGAAAAACTATCCAACTTTTCTGGATTTGGAGCTGCAAATTTGGCTCGCTGCGGGTGCTTAGACAACATTTTTTGATAGTTATCAGTTGAAAAAGGAGCTATTTTGTCATCCGAAGCAGCTAGCCTTATTCCTCCCTTTAAATTTCCTTCATCGAGCTTACTACTTATTAACTTTATTTTCTGCTCGAGGTCACTCAGAGGCGGGCTTGAAACTTGGGTATGGGGTTTTGGAAGTGACACGTCATTTGTTCGAATTGTTTTATTTATCAAAGAACTCATGCTTGTGGTCTGTTTGCGTCCACTTCTTTTCTGTTGCTCCAAAAAAAACAAGAACGACGTTAAAAAAATTAGCCATTTTGTAACATCTTCTACGTTGTAGACGATGTCCTTTATTTTGTCCGACAGACTTTCCGCCAAGGGAACACGCGATTCTTTTGGTACTCTCTTGAGTACTCGGACATTTGAGATGGCTGTATTAACATAATTGTCTAGCACTAAATCATTACCTATTGTTGCTTTATTAGCAGATTTTACATCAACGCATAAAGGACACTGAAACCATTGGGTTTTCTTAGTGTCGCTAAGAGAAATATTTACACAACTGATATGATACCAACTAGAACAACAATCACATCTAATCCAATTTATCAGTCCTGAAGGTTTTAAGCAATCTTTGCTTGTACACTCTTTGTTGTTTGTCCTCATCTTGACGCAGCATAAAGGTAAAAAAAAGGATTTTGACTGGAATTTAGGGGACTGAACTAACCCATGATAAGCGGTTAGTGGGAATTTTACAAATCAGCAAATAAAAAAAAAGACAACTAAATTAATTTAAATTTTAAAATATAAAAATCAAAAACAAGGAACAATCTCACCCGAGCTCAGTAGGTCCAGCGGCGCACCACCAGACTCCTCAAGCCAGTTCCAGTTTCCCACCTCCCCACAGAAAGCCACTTGACAGACCTGTCTCTAAAATCCCTCAGAGGGCGCTCCACATACAGGCACAAACATCAAACATAACAAATCTATTGAATAAGTTTATCACAACAATTAGGCTAAAAGCGACTAAGCGACTACATTTTTCCAATTCTTTGTAAATCAAAAGACACTGTGACCAAACATTTGTAAACTCTTTTATATAAACACTCAGGAAACAAACCAGACCTACACTAGTCGACAAAATCAAACGAAAATTTACAATTTCACTCTTTTCTGTAACATTCGCCCGCAAGTACTTACCGACGGAAAACAAAGCTGGTTACTAAAATGATTGGCTATCGTCTAAACACAGCTTCACATGCTTTTGACCATCTCTACCAAAGACAGTTGAATGTGTGGTCTATCAACATCGGATCGACAAAGTCATTATAATTTACGGCTATCGACCAAACTGCAAAAATTAACTCAATTACAAGCAGAAAAAGTCAGCTCATGGCTGGGTCTCAGTATCCCCAGGCCACGAGGTCACTCCTAAAATCAGGGCTACATTATTATCATATAACTATTGTTGTGTCGGTCGGTCATATCCTGAAGTTTGACCTTGATTTTGGAAGAAACAGCAATTTTAGAAAAAATTTGAATCCACCATGCCAAGCGCGGGTTTGTCAAGGCGTCTGAAGTTAGAAATCAAAAACATCACAAGATTCCAGACATAATTGCGGAAAAGTTGATCGGAATTGCTGCTACAGTAAAATTGCTATTCGCAATTATACTGAAATCATCAATTCGAGTAGAGCGAAATCTTACGAGAGTGCCATAGTTGCACAAGCGAGAACGTGGATTGGGCAGGTAGACGAGTGAAGCTGCCCAATTGTCCAGGACAACAAATTTCTTGAAATAAAACAAGTTATTCTCTAAGACTTCTAGAGTTGTTTTATATACATGATTTACTTATTTCTAGAGTCGCGTCACTATGTGAGAACTTAATTTTTTTTCTTGCGTGTATTTTCACACAGTAATGATGAGATAAGCCGCGTTTTAGGTTCATTGATCTGAAATGGATCAGAGGTCCACTGTCCTTTAGAAACTAATGGTTTACTCGAGTTTCCAGCCCTGTTTTGAACGGCGTTCGCTTGTTTTACGTATTTGGAGACCTAGCCATGGGCCATTTATATTTCTAGAGTGGGGGGGAGTAATTTGGTAGTGGCTTTTAA